TTAAATAACGGAAATTAAAGAAATTTATTATGAATATAAAAAGTGAAGACTGCATCAAGTGCTTTAATACATAAATTTAAAAACATTCAAAAAGTGGAGTTAATCGAGTTGGCTCGTATTTATATTATATACATTAAGTTCATATTGTGTCAAGGTATTATAATAAGATTTTTTCAATTTGATCCTGCACTTTCATCAAATATTTCGTTCATCCGTCTTTTTTTAAATAATATTGCTCCTTAACTTGTCAATCGTTTGCAATTTGTTGGCATAGATTAGATTTAATATAGCTTCATAAAATATAGCCAAATTACATGATCTTGGTTACCAAATAATGTGATCACATCGCAAAATAACGAATTCTTTGAATTTTTCGGCCAGTAAGTTACTAGACGATTGATGAGAGGAAAATATCACTCGTGTCATTGATGAAATTGAGTTTTATTTGTACGAGAATGTAATCGAAAAATAGACCAAGAGAATGCGCGTGATCATATAGAGCCAAGGTAGTCACATGACCGTTATTATTTTTCATACATAATGGTATCACCTGAATATATTTTAAAATGAAGTGAAAAATATTACAATATCACAAATATAATTTGCTTTATTTTAATTTAAGCCTTATCACTCCAAGTCTGTTTATCAGGCATTACATTGACTATTTTATTCCTTATTAACTTTACTTTTCGACCACTCAATTGTGTCTCTAAATTCCGTATACTCTTTATTCGCATCTTAGTTAATCTTTTTTTTTTATTTTATTCTAAACGCATCTATTTCACCTTTATGACGAGAAAGAAAAAAATTATTTGCTGCTAATTTAGGAAGATAAGTGAATTGTAATCATAGAAAAAGTTTCAAAATCAAATATGATTATTGATTATTATCGAAATTATATTTTTCTTGGAAATGTATAAAGATTGTTTTAAAATGATTTGAAGATTATTACTTGTGTATTATGGTCGCATTTAAAGTAAGATATTCCAAACGTAATAAGCAAGCACATATCAAAGATAGTTGCCGATCGTTAATTGCACTAAATAATCGGAGTGATCATAGTTAAAGTTTGTTCTAAATTCTTAATAAAAAAAACTATTTTAAATTACTACCTTTCTAATAGCCTCTGAATACTTTGCATAAAATAATGCTATCTTTAATTAAATTCCTTATTTTATAATATATATAGTGTAAAATTTCGTAATATTTACAATATAATATATTGTAAAACCTCTGTATTATCATTTTTAAATATAAGTTATTAGAAGTGATAATACAGGATTTTAGATATAAAGATTTTAAATATAAATTATAGAAAATTGTTTATTATTTATAAAATATAAACTGTACTTATACAAAAAAAAAACTATCAAAGCATAATTTTATACCTTTTACATTTTATAAATAAGTCAAGATAAATATAAAATTCTTCACAATACTTATATTGCCTATTTATAAAATATAAATATATTAATAATATAAAAGATATAAATTATTTTTAATTGTCCGATTCTAATTGTTAATTTTCGTTTTGAGCAGTTTCACTAGAAATTTTTTGCTTTATCTACGCTTTCGCTAATGCCAAAAAGTTAGGATTTGCTCTTTGGTATTCGTCTTCTGGGAATACGAAGTCGAATACTTTTTCCCGAAGCCGAATATCTTCTATTTAATATAGATTATTTTTAATATAAATTAAGAATACTTCTTTTTAATTTAAATTCCTCCAAAACTATTTAATGTTATTGTACTATTTAATGTATGTTATAAAAACTACATACTCCACCTTCAACCATTCGTCTTCTTCGTTTAATTCTTCTAGGCATTTTGACAATAATTTTAATCTAACTCTGTCTCCCTTCTCATTTTCGAAATCTCTCCATGCTCTCAAAAGTAATATTCTCCTTTCTTTGTCACAGTTTGCAAATAATGGATAATTCCCACGTTCAAAAATTCTACCAGCTAAAGTAACATTATCAACATCACCTCCCGATGAAGAATTAACTAATTCAAATTTAGCATAAGCTATCCAAACGCGTGTATTATAATGTAAGATTTATAAATTAAGTTTTTTATATACATATATATAATCATACCATAAAATTAAGCTTACTTTGACATGAACAATTCGTTCTAATAATCTCTCAAATAGTTGTTTAGTATTTTCTATTTCATCCTGAGATATTTCAGAATCTATATATGACTTCCATAAAAGTGACTTCCAGACATATCCAAACTAAATAATAAAAATAAAAATAAAAATATTAAACATGTTTTTGATAAAAAATAAAAATAAAAGAAAAAGACAGCTTTAATTATATTTAGTAGTAATTTCTAAAAATATTACTTAATTCGTCTAAGACACAACTAATTCATAAATATAAGTACAATAAAACATAGGACAAATGAAACTATAAAAAAAGTAGTTTACTTTCATTCACGTTGTGCAGTTTTGAGGTGCAAATTCAAGTAATTTTTCATACAGAATCCTGCATCTGTCAAATTCTCTAGATTGTCTCTAAATCATTGTAACCACGGTACAAGTTGTCTTTGGGATAAACACCCAATACCATACCTTGAAATAAATAAAATTAAATATTTAAAAATACAATAATTTAATACTTATAAATAATAAAAAAAATTATTATAATAATAACATATTAATGTTTTTCTCGCTACAGTCAAATTTTTTTGTTGTATTTCGAAATATGCATAACATAGCCATATCTTAGAAAATGTGAAATGTTTATGTCGAATAAGATCTAAACAGATTCTAAAAAATAAAAAAATATTATAAAATTTTATCTTTATACGCAACAATAAAGTATTATAAAGTTATCTCTCCATATATAACAATAATTTTATATAAGATAAACTATACCTGTAAATTTGATGACATCTATATATAACTTCCGTGTCAATTTCTTCATATAAAGCATAATTTATGTACAGGTAGATATATCGTTTCCACGCTCCTATACAAAATTTATTTAATGGAAAGGAACTTCAATTTGATTTCAGAATTGTTAAAATGTAAATATTCATTACCTTAGTAGAAGGGACATTTGCTATAGCTCGTTCATACGCTCTTACAACATTATGATTTTCTTCAGGTTTTACTAATCTCAGATAGTCAAACCAAGCATCATAGTTAGAAGAATTTTCCTTGACTTCTTGCTGATATTGATATTTTCTTTTGCTAATTATTACATCTTCAATGCCTATTTAAAAATGTTACGAAATTTGTGTTATTTTTTTATAAATTTCTACAAATTAATATTAATAATTAAAACTTTTTAATTCATACTTCGTATTAAATAAATTTTAATCTTTATAGTATGAATTACTTGAAAAATCACCACATTTCTTTTCGTGTATGGTATATGCATTATATATTTCTTTTGTTCTTTCATTTGAAATATTGTCTAAAGCATATATAGAAATTATTTTTGCTCTATCGTGCTATCAGAGAAATATTAAAATTATACGTATTATAACAGAGTTACTGAATATATTGTTATCTTAAAATAATACTTCTTTCTGTCCTTCTTCAAATCTTGCGAAAGCTATAAGTAGCTTTTCATCTAAGCTCTTTTCTCCGAAAAAGTTTATAACATCTTTATAAACTTTTCGTTCTACATTTATTACAAAACTATATATCTCCCTACATAATCTCTACCTAGCTCTTTGTATTTCTTTATGTCGTAATTCAAATTTAATATATGTTTGCCATGCCTGTTAGTCAGGTTCCTATTCCATCCATCGCCCAAAAATTTGAAGTGTTTATATAATAAATCTTTATAAAATCAAGTTACATAATAAAAAATAATCCCTAATTTTATATTAAATCTTACCAATAATATTTTCTAATATTTCTTCCATATATGTGTATTTGTATCAAAATTAATTTGTTCTAGGTAAAATTGTGACTGCACGATCTAATAAATTTCTAGCATAATTTATTTACTTATTGTGTATTTCTATTTCAAAATAATATAGCCATACTGTAATGTTTCTATGATCAACACCTAGCGCACGTTCATGTACAGATTTAAAATAAATTGGACATATAAAACCTTATAAATATTTCTAATACAACTAAGACTATAAAATGTACTATTTTTGTATTTAAAGTACCTTGCTCTCTGCATTGTTTTTAACTTTCTTCCCATCGGGCATATTTCATCAGATTCGTTATAACCATATGATTCTTACAAATATTGTTGTCATAGATATTTCTTTTTCCATATTGATAATTAGCCAATTTATGGGGATCTTATATTTTTTGCTTAGGTGGCTAAAAGAGAATGCAAGTGAATTGTTCTCTATGTAAAATTATAGATAGGTTTAAAATTATTGCATAAAGATTTTTTTCTTTGCTTCTCTTAATAGCTGTTTTGCTATGACTTAAATTTTCTCGGGTGCTTGTTTTTCACCTAAAAAAAATTTTAATTGTGAATAAATATTACAATTATAAGTTTTTTATGCTATAATTTATAATTTTAAAATAAAATATACTAATGTATAATAATCATTTTACCTTAGCCAATTTCGGCATTTTTTGTGACTTTTCCGTGACGATGGTTAATCGTTATTCTAACCAAATAAACACAGCTTCGTCTACGCTCACGTGAAAATATTCTCGCAACTCGTTCGTTCTACGCCGTACATATCGCATACGATCTTTTAACCTTTTAGCTACTAATTGCCATTATAATGGCTTTCGCATGTTATCTTTTTGAAAGTTATGCCACTATAGTGGCATTCGCGCGTCATTTTTCCGAAGGATAAGAAGTCAATATAATTACATTCCTGGATATCATATTAAAACTTATTGCGTACTTTTTGAATTCTTTACATAAAAATGTATAAGTAAATTATACTTTATTCATGTACAGCCCTATTCCGATCTAATGTTCGATCTAATAATAAGAAATGTCATCTATAGTTGTCATCTATAGTGTCATCTACGCGCCAAAACTTTGCACATCAAATAACAACAGTAGTATTTTTATTTAGCTTTGTTCGATATACAATAGTTATAATCAAACTGTGACTTCCAGCAGCTACGGCTTTGACTTCGAGAATAGTCCGAGAAAGAATAAATGATTTCTTTTGTATTCCCAGCATCTTTGTCGTTTACTTTATTTTCGGCGTCTTTGTTGTTTCTCACTTTGTTTGATTAGTTTCCCACGTGTGCGTGTGGTGGCGCTGAGGCGTGTAGTTATGTGTATTGCCGGAAAACGCGTACATTCGCAACGAAGTCGCCATAATTGCGATTATTGCGCCAAAGCATTTGGTAAGTACAACGTCATTGTTATTTTTATAAAATAAAATAAATTACAAATTGACCTTTGGTTTTACCAATACTTAAACTATTAGTTGAATTTAATGTTAACTATCTTTTGCACCAAGTGTGTGTGATCTTAGCGACAGATGTGGGCAAAATATAAATTAGGAAACAAGCAACGTTATCTGTCGCCACCGTGCACCTATCGTATCGGGTTAGTTATTCCCCACTCACGCATAAATAATAATTGGTTTCATTGGATTATAGTACACCGTACTAAGCCGTTACAATGTTTTTGTTTATTTCATTATAACTTTTTATTTAGAATTTGAGTAATCTTTTATTTTTTGGTTTTTATACTTTTAACAATTTTTTTTGTATTGTACAATGATATTGTTATTATTTTTTTTTTCATATTATGATTGCAGATGTTCGTGCAGCCATAGATGGATCGATCTTTGTTTTGATAAAATAAAGAAGGAATTGTGAAGTAGATTTGTTGTTAATGTTTTTCGGTTAATTTGAATTTGTTTGCGTTTTATGATGTTAAAAAACTTTTAGGAATATCTGTATGAATAATTTGGGTGCAAAGCAGTCATAGAGTCAATATTTGTTCGTATAGAATTTTATTTTTCTTTTTTTCTACGATCAGACATACTGTACATATAAAACAAGCAATAGATTTTCGCGAATTAAATTCATTGTTTTCCTCTTAATTATTAAATAATTATTACGTATTTGAGTCAGTGCATCATGGAAGATGATCAAGGACCTATTACACTTCTGTAGAAGAATATTGGTAAATAAATGTTTGAATTTAATAGCTAATATAATTTACATTTTTTTTATTACGATAAATTTAATAAAAATTGTGTTTAATCCTTTTTCAGATTTGCATTGTCATTAAGTCAATGTTTTACAAATTCAATCTAATTAATTTTCCATCTATGTCGATTTATTTCATTTTGGACTTATTACGGAACAGCTTACATAAATTTCGAGCTACAACGGGGCGAGTGTTTTGGAGCTATTGTGGATCTTAAGCAGTGAGTGAACAAATTTAAGTCCCTCCAGTATATATTATGTCGAGGATGAAAGATTCGACTTGACATAAGTTACTGGTTGTAATTTTTTCTATTAATTGTTGATGAATATAGTCATTAATAATTAATTTTTTAGGTTTGCTCTTGAATGATACAGTTTTAATTGTTTTTTTATTGGGCATAGTCTAGTTTCATTAGCTTAGGATAGTATTTTCTTGTTTTATTAATGAGTTATTTAATTAATACGAGTCATGCAACAACTCTTTGCAGTGTGATTTAAGTGCGATTGGTTGTCACAATTGGTGACGAAGGCGCTCACACGTTGGCTTCTGCAGCTTTTTGACTATGAGTGTTTGAACGTTTGCCAATTATGTGGATGTTAACGAAATTAATTATTATAAAAATCATAAAATCTGATTAATTTGAATAAATATATTTTGCACATGCATTTAAACGTTATAATATAATCAAACATCATAACACAAAAAGTAAGCTTTTCGAGATCTTTTTTAGATGCAATAATTGAGAACAATTCATCCAGTAAAATAAAATAATTTTTGGCCTAGAAGTATTAGTAACATTCTATTTCAATTTGTGAAGATATGCTTATTTTTAATTCCTAACGTTTAGAAAAAATTAATAATAGCGTGAAATCTTTCAATGCAGTGTGGTGCATCTAACACAATTTGGCATCTTTTGTATTTCGATGTTGTTTCGATGTCCTACCTTCTTTTACATTTCATGGTTTACTCTTCTTCGGTTAGATATATTTGATGGCCCCAATATTTCTACATCACGGCACTGTATGAGATGCATTGACAGTTCTATTCTAAAGTCAGAGATCTTTATTTTTCCTTTTTCGTTGTCAGTTTATGTATTCGTAGCTGATGTATTTAATAACAATTTGATAGCTAATTTTGAGGGCTTTTCTGTGTGGTGTAGAATATCCCATCATCTGATCGGACAAATCACATCATATTTTCCTACATTGTAATCTAAAACTACAGTTAGTTTTTCACGTGTGTAATTATTTTTGCATACAGTTACTGTTTGCGCCAAATATTTTGTGGAAGTTATTAATATGTCTTGTCTGTTGTTTAAGAACCATAATCCTTTTCCTATTTTGCATTGCAATCAACTTGTCACGTTTTAATTTTTTTAGTTTAACTTCTACGAATATTCTTTTTCGGTTTTTCCTTATAGTTTCTACCAAATGAGTGTTACAAGCAATTCATTTTTCAGCTAAATTGATATTGGTATATCAATTGTCTGCGTAAATTGTGTGTCTTTTATGCGGTATATTGTTACACATGCTCATTACAAGACTTGTTAGTGTTAAATATGGTGCGTTTGATTTTTTTCCAGAATATATTTGAAATTGGTATGTATATCTTGAATCATAAAATAATTTAAGTAGTTTAATATTATTTTTATGGTACTTCTGTTTTAAAAATTATTTAAGAATTATGCATTCTCAAAATGGTATTAATGATTCATTAATACATTCATCAACATTTCATCGATATCGTAATATTTATAAAAATTTTGATTCGATAGATCCCCAAATCTGCTTATCTTATATAGCCTTCTGGTTATGTTTAATTTTGTTTGTTATCTGGTTATTATTAACTTTATGCCATAAATATCGATATAATTCCAGATCTTTGATTTATTACTTTTTCCTTGACTCAAATCCATTGATTTGATGATCGATAACTAGTATCCTCTTTATTATCAGTAGACTCTGCATGTTTTTGCACTATAAATATGTAAATAGCATATGATATTTATCCACGAAAACATGCAAATATGTACGAAAAATATGCAAATATACACGAAATATTTGGTATGTTAAGTATTAACAATATATTTTGCAATTACTGTGATATATTATATTTCCAATTATAATATATTACAAGCGTCTTTTCCATATTCGATGGTGTTAATTGGGGACTTTCATCTATAAAAATTAACTTATATGCAAAGAATGACCGTTCCACATCACAGGATGTAATGGGTGCATACTTATTCCAACAACATTCTGGTACTTCCTTCGGATCTATAACGAAATTATTATTCAAAATTTTTGAGACTTCTATTAATATAGACAATACCACATTTTTTTAAATGATTTCCCTTGCTTTTTCTTTTATTTCTTCTGAATATTTACCAGGTATATTGCACAGACGATTAATACAATTTAAATATATTTCTGTTGAATTGGTTGGCGGTACACTTATTGTTTCTAACTTTTCCATTGTGGTCGGTAAAAAGGTAAAATAAGTTTTCATATTTTTAAATCTTGTGCGAGTTTTTCTTATTAGATCATATCTTTTGCAATCTTAATTACTGTAACATTTATTATATTAAAATGTTCAACTACTATTAACATAAAAAATAGAATAAATACGTCTGTATATACAAAAAAGTTTTTCTTTCCGAATGATTGCATATTACTTATATTTTTTATTTTATCAAAATATTCGATATAAAATAGTGCAGTTTCAATCTACGTATCCCATTTAATCAAAATAGGTTCTAATGGCAAAAGAATATTTTGTAATGTTTTCTTGTATACTTCAATATGAAGTGATGCTTTCAAAATTACTTTTTTCACAGATTTTTACCAAAAGTTTCTAAATTTTGATATATTACGTCATGTATCATGTCTCGAACAAAAAAACAAAGTTAAAAATCTTGTTTCTTTCGGTCCGCCTATTACAATCTAGTAATTTGCCTCGTTTTCGGTTAGCGCAAAACTCCTCTCGGGATTGAGAATGTTTTTATTCTCCCTGTAAGAATGATACTTTAAAAACGTAACTATCTTAGAACTCCTGTTCGAAGTTTCGATGTTCTTCAAAATGCTTATCCTTTTATTGATGACGTCACTGATTAAGAATGTAGCCCACCTCCAAATTAACTCTTGAATGAAAAACGACAGTTCTCTACTTGTGTTTCTCCCTTGAAGCATTTAGTTTCTCCAGCAATCTATCAATAGATTGATATTAAAGCGAAGGGGAAGCAGGTCAAAAGACAAACGATGGCTGTCAAATTGTCACAATTGTTTAACAGTAACAATTATTTTTATTCGATTGTAGCACGCACAATATTCGTGTGTCTCTTTACCTTCGATTCGTAATGTAGTAATAAGTGGAAAACAGAATCGTCCTTCCTCATCTATGCTGTGTAGACTATGCATACATATGTAACATGTATCATGTTAGCATAAAATAATTTAAATTTCTTCCCTGCTTTCGCTATGTATAGTTTGCTACATTCGTTGTAAGTAGAACTTTTTCTTCACTACCATGTGATAACAAAATTCTTAAGGTTAAATTTAGAAAGTGAGATATATTTTCATAATTTATTTCTCTCATTATTTTATGTTAGAACACAATAAGTGGAGTTTTGTCTTTCCTTTCTCACAAAGATATTCTACGATTAAATTTGCAATGTATTGCCCTGCTGCATTGGTCGTTTAGTCTACAGAAATTCATATATAATATTCTCCTATATCTTCCCTGATGATCTGAATACTCGAATTATAGCAATCATCTAAGTAATTTTTGCGTAATATAGATTCGTTGGAAGCGAATGATCTATATATTTTGCAAGAAAATTTTTTCGTGTATGATTATTTAAATAATTTCACGGTATATTACCAGCAACTATTACTTGCATTAAATCTTTGTAAAATTCATTGTTCCTTAATTTGATGGTTGGTGCTCACTTTTTCTTTCACATGGATTACCTCGTTCTTCAACATTTCTTTTATATTTAAATAAATTTATATGTTGCACTAATTATGTTTTTCTTTCACATTTAACACTTTTACCATAGATTTCATAATAAATACTTTTTTTGTTATTTTCATGAATAACTTTCCATTAATGATACTCTATATATATTAGTTTTTATTATATTATATTCTATTTATATTAGTTTTCATTTCAGACCCAGAAATAGGATATGAATATGGGATATGAATATATTGGGTTGGCAACTAAGTGATTGTGGAAAGTGTAAAATCCATCTGTCGACAAAATCCCCAATCACTTAGTTGCCAACCCAATATAAGTTGAATTTCCTTTGATATAATCTTTATATTGCTTCTTATCATTATCAGTTGATAATCTTTACTATATAATATAACATAATATAATATATTACATAATACATGCTTTAATATTTATATATAATAATATATATAATATATAACCACACATAGCACTTAATAAGCATTATATTCAATTCAATTAACTTTTGCACTCGAGGGCTCCGGAGCGGAGCCATTTAAAATTTGTCTTCAAACTCGAGGGCTCCGCTACGGAGACAATGCAAATAATTTTCAGTTTGTAACGTAAGAACAAAAACAAATCGTAAAAACTATTTATAGGATATTTCGCTTTTGGTAACAAATGGTGGTCGCGGCTTGCGGATAATAATAATAATTTGTTGTTTTTTTATATATTATAACATTTGTATTCATAAACAATTAAAAAAATAATAACATACAATATGATCTTCTTACTAAAATTGCTTCGAGTTGCTGGTAATATGAATGAAAAAAAACTTCGAATGCAAAGGGTTAAATTAAATTATTAAATCAAATTGAACTGATTAATTCAAACATCATATTTTCATTTCCGCTATAATGTTAGTACTCCGACTAACTTACATCTGTACTACTTCGGTAAAATAAATTATATCACCTCTACATTAAGATCAAGTGTTTTGGCTTTCTCATTCTTTACTGCACCCTGCACATCTTTTCGTAACTTAGCACACATTTGTCCGCTTTCTTCCATATCTGCTTTTTTTAATATCCCTCATTTTCTTAATTATTCCTTTTAACCACTCTATCGCTTCGTACGTCCCTTCAGCACTAAGAACTTCTGCTACCTGTAACTCCATCATATTCACCATTTCGCATTCATTCACCCAGTATTCAATAGAATCTTCCTCTTTACTACAGAACTTGCAGCATTTCTCTTCTTCAGCTCCCCACAATTTATTGGCTCTTTCCAGCGAACTGCATTTTGCTTTTGCAATTATTGCATAATCCTCATTGTTATCTGTTTCTCCTTCATTAATTTCTTTATATCTTTGAATGTATTTTAGTTTCTTAATGACATTTTACTATATTAAGCTTTTGACTTTTCTTAAATATTCAAAAACATTTACTAAGTTTACACAATGTTCAATAGTATTAAATTAATCTGATTTCATCAATCAAATTTGAGACGTCAGCAGAATTTGTAATTATATATCCAAGTGAGTGATTTGAAGTCATCAAAATATATTTCATTGTTGTCTATATTTAGTACATATTACGCGTTATCCCTTTCTGAAGATGTTTTTATGATTGCTATGTAGACTGAATTTACAGATAGATACTACATTAAAATAAATCAAATATAAACAAACTTTCATTCTCATGTATAAAAATTCAATCTTTGTAAAAAGAAACCAGTAAATATAAAAACAGCATTGTAATAAAATTTTTTTCTTTTTCAATACCAGTTTTTACAAATTAATGATTGCTCTACTAAGCATTTTTCTCACGTATATTTTTCATACTGCAAGCAGATTCCCATTGTACAAAACAAAGAGTAACAAGTAAAGCCTTGATCAAGTTAGGGAAAGAGGAAAGGATTGTAGTATTTAAATTGTAACACCTTGAGTTGTAACCAGAATAAGTGATACGAGTTAGTTATTCCATATCTTATAGGTAAGATTATAAAAAATATCCTTCATATATTGTATGAATCTGCACCTAGTTTTAGTTGGAAACAGTAGTTGTTTAACGGTAAGATTCATGGCCAGCTTCTAACAGCTTTAGCTATTTTCAATAAATTTATTTCATACTTCAGAAATCAAAGAATATTAACCAATTTGTAGACGTTGGATTCGAATACTTTTTTCTTCGATCAGATTAAAAAATTTTTATAAAACAATTCTTGGTTCTTGTGTTTGAAAAAAATGTAGTCTTCTACTTCTTATTCCACAAATATGAAATGTTCAAATTTTTTTCTTCATATACTCAACGTGCTTACAAAATAACAAGAAATGTATCTAATTTTGCTGGAGGTAGATTCCATGTAATTCCTAACACTCGATTTGCTTCTAGTTCTTTACATTTTCGCATGAGTTCAATAATAATTATCAAAGCAAATATAGTTCTTACTTGACCCTTTATAATGTTTTTTTATATATAATGTTGGATTTGGTAATGACCGTCCAAATCTTGAACTCTTTTGTATTTCTTCCCATACAGTTTCATCAATAGCAACTTCAATATCATGGTAATTTCCTTCAGTCTCGTTTTCAGAACTTGACGGAAATCCTCTTCCCTTTTATTTCCTGTTTGTTCAAAATGTTCCTTTCTTCATCCTCATTATTTAAGCATTTATTATCACTTTCGAATGAATTATATCCAATTAGAATTTGTTCATCTTCAATTTTAGAAAATTTATTTTCATCTTCTTCTAAACATTCCTCACTTATATCGTTTATCTCTTTCACTGGTGTCTTCTTTACTGAATGTTTTTTCATGTTTGGGAGTAAATATTAGAAATATTAGTAAATATTAGAACAATACAATAAAATAAAATGTAAACTAACTTTTGTTCACTTTCTCTTTCCTTATTATTTTAAGTTTTGTTCACTTTCTCTTTCTTTATTATTTTCACACTGTAAATTTTGTTCACTTTCTCTTTCCTTATTATTTTCACACTGTAATGCTCTGTTTGGAACTCTCAAAATTAGACTGTTCCTTGATGTAGCAATGTGTACGATAATAATATTCTAGGATAATTTGAATGATTTTGATTAGATCAAATCTCATATGCCTACTTTATTGTCGTTTTTACAAATGGTCATTTAATTGGTTACGGTTGATATGATAAGATACATGTTTTTCTCAGAATAAAGAAAATAAAAGCAAGTGTAAATATTGATAAAATTATTAAATGGATATTATAGAAATCATAATTATATTAATATAGGAATTATAATTATAAATCAAATAAAGAAAAAAATAATAGTGAATGCAGAATTTGTATTCAAAATCCAAAACCGGTCATTTCAAAAAACGTTGTACGGTTAGTGTTAAAAACATTTAGACAATCATTATCTAACTATTATACTATATCTAACTATATATACTAACATTTACTATTTTACTATTTGCGATTATGTATGCACACTTTTCCTTACTCTTATTTTTTTTAAAAAGATTACATTAGGATTTTTTTGAAATGTATTTAGACAAGGAGAAGTAGAGAATAACAATACGATTAATATTTTGCGTCGGAAGATGGTATGGAAGTGCATCTGTGAAAATTAAATCATTGTTCTCAATCGTATTTCTCATGCTTGGCTTTCAAAGATCGATTAACATATTTCAGTTCAATCTTAGTTCTATTTCCGTTCCGTCTCCGCTCCGTTATTTCAGTACGGAACGCAGTTCCACCACTCAGTTCTGTTTCAGTTACATATATGTATTTATACATCAATAATATATTATATAATATACTATCCAATATATTAGATTCCATTCTATGGACATCAACAATGTAAAAAATAGCCATAGAAAATTGTTTTTGTAATATATAAATATATAAATTTAATCATTCTGTTTTCTCCAAATGTTGACGAAAAATAGCTTTTAAAACCTTTATCAACTTTACGTATGCAAATATTATTTTTTGTTCTATAAAAATGACATTTTTGGTATTATTTTAATAAAATTTTGTTTTGTGATCAGTTAACCATAATTTTTTTTGTCAAATATTAAATATGTTAGAAAATAAAGGATATTTTCATCTAATTTGCTTTTTCTATTTCCGAAAAGGTAAAAACTCGTGGTAAATTAATAAGGAAATTTGTCCTTCATATGGAATCATAGAATGCTGTAGATGATTCAACATACAAAAAGTGGTTTTGAATATTTAGAGAGTAAATTTGGATGTAGAAATATTTTACAAAATACGTTAAGCCTAAGTCATCGCAATTAAATTTTATTGCCTTACGATTTAAGTTCCAATAGCATATTGGCATAAACAACAACAAGATCAGTCACACATCGAGCTTTTTCACGATTAGGCAGAACGTTCGAAGTTATGCAAATTGTCTTTTGATATATAAATGTATGTGTAAGATACAACTAATTTTATTTTGCAAGATGTTTGATAAATAATTACTACCAATTAATCATTGAACAAGAAATATTTATTATCTTGAAATGAATAATAAATTAATACAAGTTTTTATTACAATTTCTAAATAAACACATATTTTAAACTATGAACGTCTTGTTAAAATTTACAAAAATTTAATAATCTTGCATCGTGTGGTATCTTTCAAAGCATATTAGTACATGTAATGCAATTTTACATTTTGTGCACTCTTACATTGTTGGAGTTATTTTGTACGATATTGTAGGTTATGGAGTTAAAATGACTTCGAAATGAAAAATAATATTTGCATGTGTGTAGATGATAATGGTGCAATACTGATATGTTTTAAAATCTTACTTTGTGAACTTCGACAGCGTCAAATGAGATGCGTGAAACAATCGAAAATCTTCTTTGTCCATAGACAATAGACGTTAATAGAACTCAGCCTAAAAACATTGTTGACAAGCATCATTGATATAGTAAACAGCGTTATCTATCAATAATAACTTTCTTTCACTTGTCCATTTTTAAGTGTTCGTTATTCCACTGCTGAAATAAAAATCATAGAAAATTATTCAATAAAAATGTTGTAATTCATCTAAGCACTTTTGTGGGACATATATGTAATAAGTATAGTACTTGAATGTACATCTTTTGAAACATCGAGGTTTATTACTCATTCCAATTAATAAAGCGGGAATCTTGTCACGGGACAAGAGCTGTGATTCGACCTTTATGACCCGGTATTAAGCATTCATGTTGACACATGTCTTTTGCGAAAATGATTTCCATAACAAGCTAGTTTCATCTGCGTTATACACATTTTCCAACATATAATTTTCTTTCCTTAGATATTCTATAAACTCTTTTTGAAAGCTGCAGATTTATCCGATGAAGGTTTTTGCCTGACACATAGTCTACGAATATCGTAACGTGATTTGAATTTTGCTAATCAACTCGATGATGCTTTGAAATTACAATCTTCATTCAATTTTCGATTGTACTATATAGTTTTTTCGTATACGATAGGACCGGATATCCTCTGCCCTTCTTTTGACAGAACCGTTGATACGTAGCAATGTCAAGAATTTTATTATTAACAGACTTCATATTTTTTCGTGTGCACTGCAATTAACTCTCACTATAATTTAGAATTTCACACTTTCGTCTTATAATGTCACAAACTGTTGATTTTCCAATTCCACAAGACGCTGCTATTTCAGTTATTTTTTTACCACTATTTAACCAACTTAATATTTCACATTACATTTGAATTGATAAAACGGTTTGATTACATTTCGACATGCAGATTTAGAAAGTAAAGATCAATTGACAATGATATGTTAATATATATTTATATCGCTGATCGCCACATATCCTCAATATTTATCCGGCTAATCGATGTTCGGAAATCGAGGTTCTACTGATTTATATGTAATGATGTAAATAATTGATTCGAAGAGACTCTTAAGTGATGTTGGTGAATATTCTATCCTTTATGTGATGTAATGTAAATAATGATTTGAACAAAGTTTCAGAATTTAGTGGGAGATTTTAAAATATATAATTCGAAATTCAGCCGAATCAATTGTAACCCAGTGATATATCGATAGATAATCTTTTTCTAGAGAAGCAGTGTAAGAAATTGTATTATTTTCTTTATTTTCTTTCGGTTTTTCATTTATTGATGGTTTTACCAAATTACTTGATTTTTGTATTGTCTTACTTTTTCCTATATTACTGTTGCTTTTTAATAGTAGTTGTTCGAGTTTGAGAATTTTTAATAAAGCTCTCACATCAACACTTATTCTGTTTGATATACTCTTACGACCAAAGATTTTTGATACATTTAAAAGAATTACACTTAATGTTTACTCGAAACATTTACTTATGATTTTTCAACTAAGTCATGTAAATAATTTTGATTATTTTGGTAAATTACTATTATATTATCTTTTAATTAATTTTCATCTGTATGATATTCTTTTATTTCATAACTTAGAATAATTTTTTAAAACGATTAAATATTTAACAACAAATCCATAGGAAAAAATTATATATTTACATTGAACTGCATCATCACCGTATTCCTATTCTAATCCTGTTGTGTACCTAAAATATCTTTGTAAATAGTTGTAAAATTAATACCTTTAGTTAGCTGATTCAACTTCTGTATCCTCACATACAATTTATGTTTCCGACATTTTTGCTATTTTCTTTCCGTTATGTTTTCGTATTAATTTTTTAATATTTTAAGATCTGTAAATTCTGTAAAAAGATCGTGTTGAAATCTTTGATAAGTTTTATCCATGCATCAGTTTTTGGTTATTTTCACTTATTCAAACAAATAAAAGTATGTTGTGCCTTTTTGCAGCGAAAAGGATGTTTTAGTAGACCGTCGTAAAAAGAAGTACGGTTTGGTTTTAGTCGCGAAAAGTAGCATGCTTCCCTTTTAACTGCGGAAACTATTACATTAAACAGGTAGTATTCTACTGTAAAAACGAAAAGCTGTACATTTTTTTTTTTACCTGAAATAAATTCTTTAATGAAATAAGTAAAACTTAATCAATTAATGTCTTCATGCACATAGAGTATTCATCTATGAGGATACGAGTAGTAAAAATCGAAACATCATTAACAATAGCATGTGACAATCTTTGTTTCATACTAGAATTATATATCTTTTATTATTTTTCTTAATAAATAATTATTATAATAAAAGATGGTGTTTATTGTCAATCATGGATCACAAATGTAAACAAACGTAAATTAATCTATTTAAATAATAATATTACTAAATCATACAATTGAATAAATTTTCTCGGGTAGGATTTTTAAAAACTATTGATGATAAATTTTTTTTTTAATGATAGTTGATTTTTAGTATCGTAGGCATTTTATAATCTATATTGCATAATATTTTGCTTTAAAGCGTAATGTCTTAAGATTTTATTTTTTATATTGTTTCCATTAAAATCATTTAACGTTAATTGAATTCCTATTTGATTGCATACTTATTTCTCTGAAGTAATTGAAATAAAAGAATTGAATTGATTTAAACAAAAGGTCAATTAAATTTTTTCGAGAAATTTTTATAGTTAAATATATTTGCCTACAACTTGCTAACAATCTTTAACAAGTTCTTAAATTATGTACTTTCCATTTTCTCATGTGTATGCACTATTCATTTTGGGTATATACGGATTTGTTTTTATAATGCTATTCGATATGGGTATGCATGGAATCATCATCATTCTGCGTATGGCTCATCTCCGAATGTATAGAAAAATAATGTTAAAATAATTAAAAAGTATACTCTCTGTTTTATGCGTTTTTGATTTTGAAATTGAAATGTCCCTATGAGTTATAGTATAGTGTTGGAATCTACAACAGTTTTAATAAACATAGTAGTCTATTTTGTTATTGTTCGATCTGTTGTAACTATTAAAGATGTTCTATCACAAAAATCACCTATAAGTTGTTCCAGCAAAAGCACGACTTGTGTGTAATTGGAATTTCCTTGTAGCATTCCTCCACTTGCCTTATTTTTACTTCAGTCAGTGTACATTTAATTAAGTGTATTACTTCAGCTGCGGGAATGGCCATATATCCAGGTTTTTTCATTATCGTATAGGCCTTTTCATCTGTGGAGCAATGGATGCTAGTGAAAGTACATTTTTCAAGACTTGTTCCAGGATGCACTTTTGTCCTTTGATGTCTATATATAGAGTGGTTAGTTGTATTTTGATGTGTCGTTCTACGTAGATGAATTTAGAATTTACATATGTGAATATGTCTCGGTTTTCCACAGAGATTTTTGTTTTATTATTGAAAATTCTACCAGATGTTTCTAGTATCAATAGTTTTGGGTGCTCTGTGCGTGGCAGAGTAAACCCGCACAGTGAGAAATCGTTAGTCATGTGAGCGCAATGGTGACATCTTGCGTCGTAACTGTGTACAGTGTCAAACCCCATCTGTACTCGGCGAGTATCAATTTTACCGCCGGCCCTTCATATAGTACGTCATAATTATTAAAACCGCAACTATCCGTAGATAATGTGGACCAATAACTTTTACTACCGTCCACAACGAGATAATACTCTTCGTTTAGTGCGCAGATAGTTTCTGAATTAAGATGTATCTAGTTATTTCAGATTGGGGCGTAATAATCGCGTATAGTAATCTTTACTGTTACTTGGACTACTACGTCATCCCAAGTGCCATAAGGATCGGTGTATTGAGATCTTTTGCATGTGCCATAGGTAGAAATAGAGCCGCTTAATGTGAAACTTCTTGTATCGGTACCGTTTTTCTTTAATCCGAAGATAAACCCAAAAAAAGACTTCCTGTTGCGTGCATTTGCTGATATAGTTGTTGAGTCAGTGAATGCAAATACTCCCTACGCTCATTCTGGAACGCCGAGACGTGTGAATGCATTCCACAGTGATAAATTGTTTAATCTATTTCGAATCGACATTGTTGGATTCTTGTTGTATCGTAATCCAAAGCTTGCAACAGTTGTACTTATATTGAGTTATTCCTTGTTTGCAGGTCTGGTACTTCACATTCAGCCACATCCAAGAGAGAGAACGGTGAGATATTTAACGAACTGCCGGCACAATCGTATACTATTAATGCGTTTACGGTACTTATAAAGGTAAGAGCTATGTTTCATTGTGCTTATTAGTAAGAGGTCTAAAAGTCGACGAGTGAATGATGCTCGGAGCTAGGCCTGCGCTGCTTATATTTAAGATTTAACGGCTAACGTAATGGTGGGGATCTTACTTGGCGATCGTCGTCATGGAAGGGAAAGCAACTTTTGCGCCATGCTGCGCTTGCCAATATCGTAGATCGGTGATGTAGATTTCCATGACGGCCATTTATCGACATTTTATTTCGATTTATCGACCTTTAATCGGTTAGCATGCACTATGCGACTGCCTGTCGGAATGCGTATCTTTACATTGCATTTATTGATTACAGTTATAATTTCGTATGGTCTTATGTATTTTTCATCAAGTTTCCCTTTATTCGAATCTTTAAGGAGGTACACGCGGTCGCCTACCTTAAAATTAACAATTCTCTGTTTTCTGTTGTAATAGATTTTCGATTTGTATTTGCATTAATTAAATTTTGTCGATTTAAATTTTGCCTTGGGATTTATTTATTTGTTCGTTTAATTCTCTCAAGTAATGTGCATATGTTTCGTTTTGGAGATCATTTTAGGTTGATTCGTTCGGGGTTCTTGCTAACCTTCCGAAAACTAATTCGTGAGGGATTTAATATGTTCCCTCGTGCACGTTAGTGTTATATGTGAATGTTGCTATATCTAATCAATGATTCCAGTCACTATTTTCTTGAATATATTATTTTAAGAATTCGGTGAGTACATGATGTGATCTTTTTATTGATCCATTCGATTGCGGGTAATATGCCCTAGTTTGGTATTGATTGATTCTAAATTTCTTTGCGACTGCCTTTATGAGTTCTGACAGGAAATTACTGCCCTGATCGGTTAGAATGCCTTTCGGTGAACCAGATCTACATATTATATTTTTTATGAGAGCGTCTGCGACTTCCTACAAAGAAGCTTGTTGTAAAGGTATCGCGACTGAATATTTTGTTAGTAAATCTTGGATAGTGAGTATATAATTATGTCCTAATTTCGTAGTGGACATCGGGCCCACGATGTTCATAGAAATTTTATCGAATGCCATTCAGGGTGTCTGTGATTGTCATCGGCTGATACGTTTTTAAACTAATGAGCTTCTTAGATTGGCAGCTGCGACAGTTTTGTATATACTTCTGGATGTCGTGTTTTAATTTCGGCTAGTAGTACTTTTGTTGGACTCTAGCGTATGTTTTTCATACACCTTTATAACCTCCAATGGGAGTTGTTTGATTACTATGGATTATCTCGATTCGTTCGATCTCTTTCGGTATTACTATTTCGTGTTTTAATATTATTATTTTCGTTTGTCTTCCGGAAAAGATTGAATCTTTCGTCTTACGTCGGCCCAGGGTATGTCAGTCACTGGTCTTCTAGCTATCCCTATTGTATTCAGTTGTAATTCAGTGGCTTCGTCAAGTAGAGAATAAAGAGCTTCGTCTAACGTTTCGAGCTGAATAGAGAGAGAAGGATATTCTTTCTTTGACGGGTAGTGCTATAAAATAATTTTTGTCATTTTTTCTCGTAACCTTTACCCTGCCGAGGGTTACATTGGTAATGGCGGGTAATTCACCGTAAAATCAGTTAATTCTTTTGCCCCATTGTCGATGGATGTTCCGTTCATCGTGACAAAATACGCGATGTTTCTGTTATGCATTCTAATTCGGTCTTTTATTTCTATGATATTGCTATCTATGTGTTCGTACATTTCTTCTCCGTTGCTTGTTTCGTTTTCGTGGATTGTTGACGTTATATTATCATTTCTGTTTTTGTCTTGAGTTACATTGGTCATGTGGTATGTAGTGAAGGTTTTCCGAATCGTTTCGATTTGCGTTACCGAAGAATCAATGCTTTTGTTTTTCGTGGGACTCTTGAAAAGTAAATTGTTTATTTTTTGGTTCATAAAGATCTTTGTCACTCGAGCTGCTGGTCTCTGCTATCGGAAGGACTTGTTTATATGAATCTATAGGGTTTCGATATAAGGCATCGGCGTTTACGTTTTTTTTGTCTGCTTTTTAAATAATTTATAATCGTACTTTGTTAGTTAAAGTCGCCATTGGATCAATCTTGAAGTTGGATGTTTTATCGAGTTCAGCTAGATCATAGGTTCATGGTTGGTGACCAAATTGAATTGATTACCGTATAAATTCGGCCGAAAATAATTGACTGTGTATATTATGGCGAGTAATTCCTTCTCTAATGTTAAATAATTTTGCTCGGTCTGATTTAATAAATGCTATGTGTAAGCGACGGGCGGTTTTTGCCCGATTTCTCCGTGAATCGAAATTCCGCTTATGGCAAATTTTGAAGCGTCTGTAGTTACTAGGAATAGTTTGAAAAAGTCAGGATATTGAAGGAGAGGTTTCTTACATAAGAGGTCCCTTAAGTGGCTAAATACGCGATCGTGACTCTCTTCCTATTTAAATGGAATGTCTCTCCTTAGCAGATTCGTTAGAGATCGGCTAATAGCTAAAAAGTTAGTAATAAAACGTCTGTAGTATCCCGCTAGCCGTGGGAATTGTTTAATATTCTTTACTGTTCGGGGAATCGGAAATTCCTTTACTGCATTGATTTTTCCTGGGTCAGGTTTCACTCCTGAAGCGCTTATTATGTGTCCCAGATAAGCGACTTCTTTTCGGAGAAAATTGCACTTATCTGGTCGTAACTTGAGTCTTGTCTCTCTTAACCTATTTGAGAGTTTTTTAAATTTATTGACATGTTCGTTGAAGGAGCTAGAATATACTATCGTCCAAATAAACAAACAGTTCGCTTGCCTGTAATCCGGAGAGAACGGAATTCATCAGCCTTTGAGACGTTCGTGATGCGTTTTTTAAATCAAAGGGCATGCGAGTAAATTCGTAGTGCCCGTATGGGGTTGAAAATGCTGTTTTCAGTGCGTCGTCTTTATTCATTTCGATTTGATGAAAACCCGAAGCTAAGTCAAAAGTGCTGAAATATTTAGCGCTACCCAGCTGATTTAGAATTTCGGTTATATTGGGTAGAGGATAACTGTCCTTAACTGTTTTTTCGTTAACCATACGGTAGTCAATGACAAGCCTCCACCTTTTGTTTCCGTTCGATTCTGCCTTTTTGGTACGATCCATAAAGGAAAATTGTAGGGTGACACCGATGGTCGTTTCGCCTCATTCTTTATTACCTTGTTTATTTGTTTGTCGATGTTGTGTCTAGCATGTTTAACAGATCGCGTATGTGTTAATTTATTGCCTGGTAAGTGGAATAGGTCTAAAGCGTTTTTAATCATTTCTTTCGCTATTCCTTTTTCTTCTTTATACAACGTTTCTAAATTTATGTACTCTAGTATTTGAAACAATTTTCATCTATTTTAGAGATCGTTCTGCAAGGTCGTTCAAAGTGAGAAAGTTTTGTACAGAGAAAAGAGGGCTCGGAAGATATTTCTCGGTTTAGATTTTCTGCGTTTTCTTTTACGTTATGCCTGCATGGGTCTTCGTAAGAAGCACTCTCTATATTGTCGAAAGCATGTGAGTCACGCCCTAAGGCGGAGTCATTCGCTTCATCGGCCATTTCGAATTCTTCTATTTTGACTTCTATTTTTACCAGGAACTTACCCTTTTTCCACATCCTTCTGAGTATTAAAGACTCTTGTATTCGAGTGTCCATCGATATTAGATACAATTGCTTTGCAAGCGTAGATGCCATCCCTCAAGTTTAATAACGGAACGTAGCCCATTTTTATATTTGTATTTGAAATGTTTATTGTCAATAGATCGCATGTTCTGGCTGCGACTGTTTTTTCTTCTGGCACAATAACTGAAATCTTTACGTTTTTCCAGGATACGCTTTTATTTAAAAAGTTAATTTCTACAGATTTGTTGAGGAAGTCGGTCCCGAGAATGCCACCATGAGGAATCGGAAAGGAGTTGGATACTAGATAAAATTCCACCGAATATCCAAACAGATCAATAGTGCAAGAGCCACAAATCAAAATAATCTCGTCGGTACTTAACTTATACTTAACACTTAATTTTATTTTTCTTGATTCGTCGACGAAGATTTCATCATCGGCTTTCTCGATTTTTAATACATTTGATTCTGAGTCTGTATCGATTAAAAATGTTTCTTTTTTTAGATCTTTGGAGATTATTTTCACCGATGGTGTTTTCGGGTTATTTTCTAGTTTAATTGTGCAGATTTGGCAATATTTGCATTTCTTCCTCGGAGCATAGGAATTAGGCATGCGGTGTTGTTCGGAGGGATGCTGGGAAGGGGGAGAACGATTCCTACGCGAGTATTCGTGCGGTCTGTTCTGTCTTTCATTTTGTTTTATAGCACTCCTCTTTGTGATCGATCTTGTTGCAGTGTGCACAAAATTTTAGCGTCGACTTGAAATTTATCTTTCGCGATTGCCTACCATCAATCTCCATTGTACTACTGTTTAACGGTCTATTCCTAAGAAATTTGGTTTATTTTTATCTTTGATGACGTAGCCGGTCCTGCTTGATCATCAGATAATGTTCCTGTGCTTTTTCGTATGCGTCGAATATGTTTGTACACGTAGTTTGTTTGATCTCTATCCTGTAATCTCATGGAAGATCTTTGCAGAAACTTACCAATTTAAATTCCTCTATCTCGTTAATTTTCTCTTCCGATAACTCGTTAGCTTTAAGTCTCTCTTCCTCGTAGATTGCCTGTTGTAAATCTTTAACTTTACTTATGTATTGCGAGATGTGCTCATCGGGTTTCATGCAGATGTTATTTAATTCGGCTATATGTTGTTGTAAGGTGCAATTTCGACCGAAACTCCTACGTAGCACGTAGCATCGTAAGCGTAAATATTTCCCGATCTTTTACGGCGATGTAAGCTAAACCCCTGATATTATTTATAATGAGGCGAGTTACCGTTGCCTCGCTATTTGGCGGTGTTAATTCACGAGCGCGTTTGCATGCTCGAATAAAATTATTTATCGTTATATTTCACCCATCGTAGGTCGGAACAGCGTCCATGGCTGCACGTATTGATAAATCACGTGCTTCTTGTGAGTCGCTCCACGTATCATCTACCTGTCGCTTTGCGGTTACTATTTCCCGCAATAAAGATTCGAACGAGGTGAAATCCGGTTTAAGTATGTTACATCTCATTAAACACGGTCCTTAACAAAACTAATTTCCTAAGGAGCTCCGGCTTTCACGAGATCTTGTGCCTTTTCGGCCGTTACCTGCCTGGGCAGTTCTGGCTCGGGATCGGTACCAAACAGAATGTTGAAGCGACGTTGCAAACATTCTTTTACCTCTTGGGAGAGTGATTCCAGATGATGCTGAAGCTTTATCTCCAAATACCTCGGAGTCCTAGGATCCAAGACTAGAAGGTCCAGTAGGGGGAATCCACATTCTGGATGGCTGCAGGGGCGTCAGTGGAAGGTTCTCTTTCTTCTCTTTCGGGCACGACACTCAGTGCGTCGTTGTAATTTTTCGTTTCTTGTTAGAATTCCTTTAAAATTTTTGCTCCAGATCGCTTGCGTCACAATGTGATCGCTGTGAACGGACCGCATTACTGAGTAGTTGACACTGAAGTACGGAATGCTACGAAGTAATTAGAAGTCGTTTCTTGTTCTCTAAATTTTACAATGACATTTAATATATTCAGTAATATCATCTTACTTTCTAAAATATAAAAATGTATAATCATAATTTTTTTTTTTAATGTTTTATTGTAATGTTCATGTAATATTTTTAATACAACGAAATTACTAAAGTATTTAAAGTCGAACATAAATCGTGTCTGCTCTCACTCGCGAAAAATATTTTTTTAAATTTTCTTTTCTCCATGTTTTGATGATGGGTCTAAAAAATTAAATATTTTAAAACTCAACATATTATCACAAAGACAGAAATTGAATATTTACTGTTATATATCCGTCGCTGGCAATGTTCTAAAGAAGACTGAAACTGTATATCGTTAAAACGAAACACAATATCGTCTTGTCGTTAGTGTTTTATTTCATGATAGTTAATTGCTTTTAAGGCATGCAGCGACAGATACTCGATTAACAAAAGTATCTCATGTAAAGTACGAAATCAAAGTATATATGGTATGAACGTATATGTACGCTCTTCGTACTCGAGCGCCTATTTTTTCAGAGTGTACATATACGCTCTTCGTACATAAATGGTCATTCTTCGAAGGCGTATATATACGCCCGTCGGAACAAAAGGGTTAATAACCGACGTAATAGGTATTACCTGCCACCACGACGTACTTTTGGCATAAAGGTAGGAAGACGCTCGGAAAGAGCAGTTAATTGGTAGTAGAAAAGGAGGAAAGAGAATAAATAGTCGTTCGTGCGGGGACTCCTCACCGAAACGGCAATTTGTTTATATACATATATAATAACTTGGATTGCTTATGGGAGGTGATAAACGAAAATAAGTTTCTCTGTGAACAAAGTTTATAACTCTTTATTTGTTAATTGCTAATTATTTACTATCTGTATTTCTACCTGTGAACAAAGAAACGACAATTTACGTTTATATTTACACTGTTTAAATTTTATATTTCACTCTTGTGCTACTTCTCTCGTCTACGTTTTATTTCTAACTGCCCGTTTCTCTCCCAAATCTTAACGGCTCGGTTTGTAGATAACAAAAGAATTTGTAGATAACAAAAACAATGGAAGGGCGGAACATGAGACGCGCGGCCAATCTACCTAAAGAAAGTATACTTTCTTTATATCTCCCCCCCCCCCCCCCCAGAATAAAATTCCTACAATTTTAGTCCTTGTCTCCATCTTCTGATATTGGAAGTAATTTTGTTATGTGGAAGAATCCGGTTTCTTGTTTTCGTTTCCCTGTTTTTATTTCGTATATAGATTCTGAAATCTTTTTATTATTTGGAAAGGACCAATTCTCAATTCGTCTAATTTCTTTCTATTCAACCTATTG